TCTTGCTGCTTGAAATATGAACCATACTTTCTGCATAGCCATTGCAGCTGTCTGTGTTGGCTTCCGATTTCCTCAGTTGGCTCACAAGGAGTAGATATGCAAAAGAGGAAGGTTTGTTTCCTATTAAGTTACAGTTATATCTGCTATATCACAGACAAAACATACTTTGTCTATTTGAATAAACCCAAAAAAGGCAGCAAAGTGTGGAGAGATTAATGAAGTCACATATTTTTTACTGGTCAAATATATGCTTTACAAAAAACAGTGGTAAAGCTGCTTTGATTTATCCTTGTAAGCATATCTATAGAACAAGAAGCATATAATTTTGATGGACTGTTTTTCTAAAAAATTCACATAATCTACATACTTTCAATTATACAAGTCATAATTACATTATAATGTATCTATGTCATTAGAAAACTTTGTGCATATTTCGGATAAAAAATATGTAGTCACTACATTATTAATTTGTTTACAAAAAACGGAAGTTATATATATATATATATATATATATATATATATATGAATCCTAAAACACTTCCAAAACAGCACCAAGACTGACCTAACACAGAGTTTATAGAATATATTTTAACACATGCCGATATTTTCCAGCTTTAATCAAATTCAGCTTTACAAGTACATCAATGACATAACTTTAAAATAACATAATTATTCACATGGAATCTTCACAGAAACTTCAACACCCTTTACTATCTTTAAATCAGTACCATTGGTTGTCTAATTTTCTCTCTTCCTGTTAATACTCTTAGATTGGCAGGTGCCTTTACTCAGAAGCTGCTCTAATCAAGGCTGTACAAGATTTAATGCTCTCCTGGTCACCATGTAATTTTACCTGACCAATTGTTTAGAAATCTATTTATATTACACAGAATCACAGAGTAAGCTGAGTTGGAAAGGACCCTCAGGGATCACTGAGTTCAGCTCTAAGCCCTGCACAAGACCAACCCCAAGGTCACACCATGTGCCTGAGTGCACTGTCCAAATGCTCCTTGAACTATGTCAGTCTTGATGCTGTAGCCACTTCCCTGGGGAGCCTCTTCCAGCACCCAATCTCCTCTGAGTGAAGGAGATTCAGCCTGAATGTCCCCTGAGACATCTGTAGGCCATTCCCTTGGGTTCTGTGCTGGCCACCATAGAGAAGAGATCAGTGTCCGCCTCTCCTCTTCCCCTCAAGAGGAAGCTGTAGACTGCAATGCGGTCTTACCCTCAGTCTTCTTGAGGCTGAACAGACCAAGTGAACTCAGCTGCTCCTCAAGCCCATTCACAAATCTCATGGCCCTCCTTTGGACACTCTGTAATAATTTAATGCCTTTCTTAATATTGTGGTGCCCAAAACCACACACAGGACTCAAGGCGAGGCCGCCCCAGTGCAGAGCAGAGAAGGACAATCCCCTCCCCATGCTCAACTGGGGATTCTGTGCCTGGTGCAGGCCAGGACTATTTTTCCCTATGTGTCTGGTGTCTCCCTTTTGATGAACTTTAATTCTGATATTTTGCAACCATATTAGATTAGTGGAGGGTCTGGTATCAGTTTATGATATAATCACCTATAATAATGCTTTTCATAGACACACCTATTTTATCCTTCTTAACCTCCACCTTAATATGTATGATTCACAGGTAAAATTGCAATAATTTCACTAGTTTATGAAAAAATATAAACTTGACTGAATTACAGATAACAAGATTGGAAACGGTTCCATCTTTTAAATCACATCTAAACATATTTGCACTATAATATTCTTAACTTCTACATTTTTGCAAACAAGTCCATTTTCAGCTGTGTTTTTCCTGATTTGTTCAGTTGGCCCCAGGGGAAACCTCTTCTATAACAGGGGCAACTATCAGTGGTTTTTTTTTTAAGCGGCTTGAGTTAAGAAGGCAATGACAGGAAAAAGAAAATGGGAGTAAATAGCTGCCCATTTGTCAAAACTATTTTCTATTCCTGAGGTGAAACAATAAAGAGCTAAGCTGGTTACAGACATGAGTTGCTGAAAACTTTTTCACATCTGCAATCAGTACTTGGAATTTGGCAGCCAGATTCTCCAGATATTCTGCCTCAGTCTAGACAGGTGTGTGCTCCCAATTAGACATCAAAAGTCTGAAAGGGAATTTCTGTTGGCTTCTGTGCTTCTGGGTATTGAAACACTGGCTGTTTTCTTAAATTTCCACTTGTCCACATCCATGCAGCACAAGGCTGGTGGTAAATAAGGAATCAGAGTGCAAGCAAGGAGATAAGAAACTATGAATATAGATAAATCATATGAGATGATGGAAACAAAATGGGAAAAAGAAAACGTTTTGCTTTGGCAAGGTCAAGGGAAAACAGAGTGATTAACTGAGAAGCCTAGATTGTATCTAATTTAAATAAACTGAGTAAGTTTGAGACTATTTTCTAGGAATTCACAAATCATATGAGTCGTCACTGAATTCTCCATAGGACTTTTGAATGCCCTTACCCTCTGTGCAAGGTTGGCCACATTGATGATAAGCTGTGTATCTAAGGTATAACCACCATGTGTTAGAGAGACTGCTATTTGGATTTGGCTAAAACTGCCAGGATCAATAGAGACAATTATGTTCCAGAGCTTGAAAGCCTTCCCCAGCCTTGTTTAATTTATTAGCATAATTGTAGCTAGGAAATTTAGGTGTCTACTAAGATATCTGATGCAGAGAAAAGGAATACAGAAAGAAATATACCCACACCAACTCCAGGAGATAAGGACAGAAGCTAAGAGTAAATAAGGATAAATAAGAATAAATCAGGATAAAGAACCTAATGGAAAGACAAATGTAAGATAGAGTAATCAAAACCAGAAAGATCTATGGCATCCAATATATTTAATCTTTTAGCATGTAAAATTGTCTGACGTTTCCCAACCCTCATCACCCTTCTATTGTCACTAAGTATTTGTGAAACTTGCAAGTGTAAACTTAAAGCATTTTAAAGTCTTATTTGGTCTCCAAAATGAGTTATAAAAAAAGAACAATGGTGTATTACCACTTCAATTGAAAGACATCAGTGATCTTGCTTATCATCCTAAATTCCTAATTCTTCAAGGTGATGTTACAATAGTACATAATGCTGCCATTTCTGAGGCAGTTAGGACTGTGTGACTGTTTCAATGAATGAATATTACAGGTGCAAATTCATATGAAGCAAATTAGAAAACATGCAAATTATACTAGCTGTGGAGTTCTCTTTTCATCCATTTGTGAAGTCTGGCCCTTATTTATCTTACACCAAAAAGAAACTTTTTAGTTTTACATGACCCGAGTACATCATACAGCATAGAGAATCAAGGAACATAAACGAGCTGAAAATTTTAAACATTTTTGGTAAGTAGAAGTTTATTTCTTCTACTTTTTCATTGCTTCATCCAGTCTCCAAAGTTCTCAAAGATAACCATAAAGTTCTTAGATAGCTTCATTCATCTTGAAAATGTTTATCTTTTTTCCCTTCTCTTTCTTCTGAATCTCCTTTCCCTATCTACACTTACATGCTATCTCTTGCTGTCAACAACAACTCTTTTGCATCTTTTCAGGTGATACATTTTAGTGAAAACTGAGGCAAAAGAACAATTCAGTACATTATGATTTCCACAGTTTTCTTTCCAGCGGAACAACACTGTCCCTTCTCTTACCTCCTCTGTCTTTAACCTCCCTGCTACAAAACGATTTAACATTACCTGTAGTGTTTCTGCTGTTCTGTGCCAAGGTATTCTTGATTTTGCCCCAGTGTTCCTGTGCCATTCATTCACCAAGGAATCAGATTGTATCCTTCCTACTGAACTATTTCATTTCATGGATCCCTAGCTTGAAACCCTCCAGATGATGTGCAAAGCCACAGCTGAAGAGAGTAGGCATTACCCTTTTAACGTGTAGAGTACTATCTAAATCATGGTCTTACATTCCTAGAACATTTATTTCTCAAACATTATTCTCAAAAAGAGTATTTTTAGCTTAAATTATGCTTATTTGCCATTTCTGTTTTCTATTAAGATGGTAAAGCTATTATGTCATAAAAACCCCAGAACATATCCTGATTAAATACAAAGCAAACAGTAACTTGTGATTAAATTATAATATGTGTATTTAAAGCAGATTAAAACTGCAGAGTTTGGGGTATCTATTTAAAATTGAATCTAAATCAAATATACAATAGAATCATCATGATAAAATATGGTTAATTTAAACAATATAATGATGTATTTTAGGAAAAAAATAGAACACAGTATATATTTTATACTTATGTGATTCAAGGCAAATATAATAGGGAGTCCCACTCTTTCAATTACCTTATTTTGTAATATTTGCATTCTTTTTTTAGATTAATGCACTTCAATTAAAATGTGCATAACAAGTTGCTTAAGAAGTATAAATCTCAAATCTATAATGCATTAAAATATAAAAACTACTCAGAAGAGAGCTTTGAGTTATTAACTCTGAATTGTGAGCTATTCATAAGTTTACACTTCAAAATGGAGTACCAGCATATGAAGGGAAATGAAAGTGAAAGCATCTGGCTCATAATAAAACCTCTTAAAATATTTGCTTATTCAAACTTCACATTTTTTCTTTCAAATTTTTAATGATTTATGCAATTATTTAAACTGAGATTTGATTTAAAAAGCAATAGAAGATTATTCTTTAAAAACTACAACTGTTCCTTCAGTGATCTTACATAATTTGAGTTATGAGGGTTTAAGACATTCCTTTTAAGTATTTGAAAACCAAGAAAAATATATAATTTTCTTGACTATCCTATTGAACTTGACAAGTCTGAAATATTGAACAGTTAGGAGATAAGAGATAATATTTTGAATTCATCCCTAGAAATGGTAAATAAATATTTTTGGATAATTATGTTTAAAAATAAAAACATTTATACAAAAATACAATTGATTGGAAAGTAGCAAACAAAAACATCAACATCTGCCTCTATAGGAAGTATATATATAATGTATGCAGCACAATACCTGTATATGCAAACTGAACAAGGTCCCACAGCGCGTTGGGATCTATGCCTTCCATTTTGATCTCTTCTTGCTTGGCTTCACAAACATCACTTGTAAACATGGCAGCAAAGTAGTCAGAGACAGAACTGAGGACAAGTCTGCAGAAAAAGTAAGAAACTGGTGTAATTTGCTTGGATATATGTATTATAAATGTCACATATTTATAAACTTCTTTAAAAATTATTTTCATAATAATTAATAAATAATTCTGCATTTTGCTGCCAACGTGCAGTAATAATCCTCCTAATGTTTTTTAATTACTAGGAGGAATATATTATTAATGCATGTTGGCAGCAAAATACAGAATGACATTTGATTCTAATTCGGATTTGCCTCCTGTGATATGAAGCAAATGGTACTTTAGCATATGACTGTAAAACAGACAGAGAAATTAGCACTCAGTCTTTCTGATAATCTTCCAATCATGCAGATGTCCCAACTGTTAACAAGATAATCTCTCAGTATCAAATCATCAACTTCATATTGGCAGGCATTTCATAATCCAGAGGTACTCTTCTTTGTTCCTAAAGGCTTATTTGTTATAAACTTTAATAAGAGCACGTGACTTTAGACAATCTATATACCTACTAAATATAATCTGCTAAACTGTTAGTAGCTTACATGCTACTCACTAAAAACACATAATAAAATCACTGTGTAATACAATGTTTTTGTTAACAAACATGTCCAAGAAAAATATTTTGAAAATGCCTACAAAATGTTCACAGCTTGCTGTTTAGGGATCTGATATAGATAAATCAATACCACAGCAGTATCAGATACTACTGTAATTACTGGGGCTTTAAGTCAAGGCATTCTTCCAAATACCATCTACAGTGAATTTTTGATTTTGTTAGGACTGAATATTCACAGATGAACTTGAGATAGAAGTGTGGTACAGCTATAGATAGTGTACTATGTGCTTCCATAAAGATGGTCACATTTCTGGATTAATTTGAAAACATAATATACAAACATATTAATACAAAAACACTACAATCACAAGTGGAGAACTTGGAAACCAAGTGAAAAACAATTAGCCTTTTGTATATTGTTAGCTAGTTTGCTCAGGGCAAATTATTATTTTAAAAAAGAGGGAAGATAAACAAGTTAATTCTTATCAGCAACCATGGTAATTGATTGTCTTTGCTCTCTTAGCTCACCCTGATAGCTAAGTAAATATGACAGCTTGAATTGGCTGCGTAATTTTACAGTGCTTTAAGCTGCTATATTTTTCCAGCAAGTAGAGCAGACTGAAGACATATATATGATCTTTGCCTCTAAGGATGGGAAATTATTAAATAGGTATAGTACTTTTATCACGTTTCCTGTTGTGCTCAACTCCAGCAGTCATGAATTTTAGAAGGAAACATCCTAATTCATAAACAATTCACATTTATATTTATGTAATGACTAAACATCAAGGGATGACTACAAAAACATGAACTTAGAAATAGACTTTGGTGCTGCCACTAGAAACTCCTAATTTATTTTTTTTTTCATCACTGAGGAACATTTACTTCTACATTTGCATATTTATTCTATCTTATTTATATGTTATTATATTTGTAAATCTCTTCTAGTACTTTTTCTGACCACTTATTTATAAGTGATTTTAGTGTTCATTGATGCTTCAATGAAAGCATCACAAAAATCACAGAAAGGAAAAACATGATGATTTTACACGAGATCAAAATTCTCACAGATATCAGACATGTAATTTACATATGTGATGGAGATTTTCATTTGAGACCATTTCATTCATGGAGATTTAATTTAATTTCATTTTGCATTAGCTGTTGCTTCAGATTTACTAGCCATCATTTAAATTCAGCTATGGATATTCAATTTGATCATTTGCCAAAAGTAAGGCCAAAACCCTTGGCTTCATCCAAAAAAAAAAAAAAAAGGAAAAATGACTGAACAGAAATTTTAATACAACAGCTAATGATCACCGAAAATATTTTCAAAAGGTAATATCTTGTATTTTAAATTCACATGATTTATGTTCAGCAGTTGCCTATTATATAATCATACTGTGTGTGTGTGTTTGTGTGTGTGTGTGTATATATATGGTCAAATTAAAAACAAAAAACCCCAAAAAACAACAGAGGTAAGACAGAAAATAAATAACAGAAGGATTAAATCTCTTTCACAAACGTCTATAAAAACATGTGATTTTCCACAGTTTGTGTGAGGAAAGTCAAAGATGTTATCTAATGGATTTCATTTGCAATGAATTCAGAATTCCGTCTACAAGAGCACACAAGAGTCAGTCCAAAGTGGGAAAAATAAAGAAAAATAAATGAGACAGTTGTCAGGTCCTCAGCATTACCCATTTTTCTTAGAGGTTTATCCCTACTGGTTTGTACCACCTATCAAAGAAGACGGCTTAAATGAGCAGAAAGGTTCTGTGATGTAGCAACTCACCTACAGAAGCAAGACAAGCTTTTGAACTTAGTGATAAAAAAAAACAGGATTATTTTTTTCAGTGCCTTATGTTAATCAATAGTTAACAGAAATACTGAATCAGCTATTTCATCAACATACTATAAGCAAAGTTTCAAGACACTAACTTTAGCCTTGGGAAAAAAAGTGCTCCGCAAGTTGAACTGAAGAAAGGGAAACTTGCTAATTACACTTGATTCTGAAAGGTGACACCTTTTGTAAATCTTTATTGTATTCCACGGTTGAGATGGAAGATCAAAAGTGAGAAAACAAAGAGATCAATTAATTTGTAATGATCTGCTGCTTTTTGTAGTTCAGAAGACTCCAAACAGCCCTAAATCTTGGTTTAAAGGCATGTTGACCTATTAATCAAGAAAGGTCAGGTGGCTGAGGATGTCACCTTTTCAACTTCGGATCTGGCAGTGAGAATACATAATAAACTCTTTCATCCTTGACACTCATAGCAGGTAACTCATGGCTTAAAAGGAGTTTGTGAACCCACAAAGATTTTCTCCTGATTAAGAGACATCTTTCACTTTACAACTAATTTCAGCCTGATCAATTTGTGGTTTCTTTTGTAAGTAACCCATATGACTGATTAGAGTTGTGACCTTTTTTTCCCAGGATAGCAGGTTTTATTTTAGTTTATTATAGAATATTTCTTTGGTACTTTCACAACTGTTTTCATATACACTTTTGATAGAGAATTGCCTGACCACTGATGATGCATTTATTAATTAAAAGAAGTAAACAAACCTTGATCCCTTAAAATCTTTAAGAAAACTCTTACAATATTTTACTACCAACTGAGTAGAATATCAGATGTTATTTGCACTAAAAAATCGTAGGCGAGACACTATTTTTTCTCCATGCATATTATGCTAATACACATAGGAACTGAATATTCTCGAGAACTGAGCCCAGGAGAATCCCATGAGGTTTAACTGGACCAGGTGCAAGGTGCTGCACCTGGGTTAGGGCAACCCCCAGTATCAATCCAGGCTGAGGGATGAATGGACAGAGAGCAGCCCTGCTGAGACTGTCTTGGTGATGCTTCTGGATGAGAGGCTGGAATGCACACTCACAGCAGCCCAGAAAGGCAAACATGTTCTGGGCTGCATCAAGACAGCGGTGACCAGCAGGGCGAGGGAGGAGATTCTGCCCCTCTACTCTGCTTTGGTGAGACCCCACTTGGCATACTGCATACAAGCAGCTTTCATTTACAAAGATTCTAGGGGAAAAATTATAATATTTGGAATTTTTCCACACTACATTTTAATTGTCATTGACCTTTTGTCAGATGGCATTGTGAAAGTATGTGTGTGTATATATATATGTATCTATAGACATATATATATGCATTAATAAGTATTACTTATTTTAAAAAGCTGCATAAGTATTACTTATTTTAAGCTCTGAGTTCTGAAAGGAATAAAATCTCACATTCAACAAATACTGGTATAATTCACAGCATAGGAAGGACATCAACCTCTCAGACTGAGTCACCAAAATGATGGCCACCAAAATGGTTAGGGGGATGGAGTATCTCTCCCATAGGAAAAGATTGAGGGAATTTGGCTTTTTCAGCCTAGAAAAGAGAAGACTTAGGGATTACTTAATTGCTGCCTTCCAGTACCTGAAGGAGCCTTTAAAGAAAGTGGAGAGGGACTCTTTATATGGTCATGTAGTGATAGGACAAGGGAGAATGGTTTCAAAGTAAAAGAGTAGGCTCTTTCACCCTTCAAAGTCCATTTCAGTTACTGCACCTTTTTCCAGTCCATAAAATAACAGCATTAGTATTCTGGTTTAATACAATAATAAAATATGTCTAGCTGGAAAGGACCTTTAAGGCTCCTAAAACAAAAATAAAGCATGTGATTAAGCACATGATTAGATGCTCCTTGAACTCTTACCACTTCCCTGGGAGGACTGTTGGAACAATTTGCCATCCTTCTGCTGAAGAACCTTTTTCTAATATCCAGTCTGAATTTCCCCTGACTTCAATCCATTTCCTTGGGTCCTGTCCCTGGTCACCAGACAGATGAGATCACCACCTCCCCTTCTGCTGCTCCCCTCAAGGAAGCGGTAGACTGAGGTCATCCCTTAACCTTCTTTTCTGTAGGATGAACGAGCCCAGTGACCTCAGCTGCTCTCCTTATCCATTTTTCCTTCAAAACCTTTCACCACCTTGGATGCCCTCCTCTGGACATGCTCCAATAGTGTGATATCTGTATATTGTGGCTCCCAGAACTGCACACAACACTCAAGGTGTACCAGCACAGAGCAGAGAGAGGCAATAACCCCTTGATGGGCTGGTGATGTTGTGCCTGGTGCTTCCCAGGGCATGGTTGGCCCTTTGCTGCCAGGGCACTGCTGACTCTTATTCAACTTGCCAGCAACTCAAACCCTCATTTCAAGATTATCAATCAAGGTTAAAATTAAAATCTCATCTAAATTGCCTTGCTGCTCCCTCTGATAGCAGGAATTTTTGCTGTTGTTGTTGTTGTTCTTTACCAACTATATTACTTGAATTGTTTTTAAACTCGCAGACAGTGGGTTGTGCTAAACAATTCAGTTCAGATGAGTTCAGAGATACAGGAAGTTTCTCAAACCTTACAGATATCTGGGAATAACATAGAGCTGCTGCACTGCTTTTAGTCTGTGTTTTCCACATGGATCTGTTACTGACTAGTGACAGAAAACAGTTCTTCAGACTATTATGTGCATCTTCAGACTAAAGTGCATTTTTCCTCTTTCACTCCCTGCTTCTAGACTTTTCTGCCTTCTCTGCCTAGTTCTTTATTCATTCATCTTGCCTTTCAGCTAAGCTTTCTCCATTTTTTCTTCATTTTACTACTACTGTTTTTTCAACTTTGTCCCTCTGTAGTAGCTTGGCACCGGCAAATTATATAGAACCACAAACAGGACGGGACACCAGAATCAGTGCCGTGAGCTGTTTATTTCAAACATCAGTCTCCGGTTCTATTGAATTTTCTGTTTTATTGAATTAAGTCTCTGTTATATGGTAGTGTTTTAATTGGATAGGGGCAGGTGAATTTTAGCCTTATATAACATTTGTTCTTCTTTTGTTTCCCTTCAGCATAGAGTTCCTATCTTGTTTTGTGAAGCATTACTAGTCGAAATGTCATAATAAACTACAGTCTAAGTTTAGAGATGCTCTAACATTTCTGCAGTCCTAGATGGAAGTTTTAATGAACTTTCCAGCAAAAATATTAAGATCCATCTATCATTTGCAGTGACTTTAGCTCTTTTCTTCCCAGGACTTTAGATGTTTCTTCAGCAGCTGTAGAATACCGCATTTCAAGCACAGTTATCTAAAACCAGTGCAATTAATGTAAATTGCCTTCACTCAAGACCACTAAATCATTGATAGCAAACACATGCTTAATTTTATGTTGACCCATGTGATTATTACTTGATTAACAATTTTCATTTACTCTCATATGGCCACTATATTTCTGAACAATATTTACTTCCTAAATGCACAACAGAAGTACATGGAAAATGAAAGCAGAGATGAATGATGCAGGAGAAATATAGAAATATTGCGTCAATGTAAAAAAATTGAATTGGAGAGGCCCAAAGGTCAGGCACAGATGAAGACAGCAAGGGATTTGATAGTAAAGAAGAGTTTCTGTAAATACCTTGGAAGCAAATGCAAAACTTCTGAAAGATTTTGTGCACTGCTCAAAAAAGCTTTATTTGGCACAGTCTTTTGTTTATTATGTTTGGAGACCAAGTTTGAAGTGAAATACTGAAGTAAGCTCTACAATATTACTGAAGGACCACTCTCTCCTACCTGTAATGGATCATGACAATTCCAGGAGGTTTCTAAGGACTGGAAAAGTCAATTTTCATGTAAATCCCTAAGAAGAAGGATGTAGCTACCTATAGACTTGTTTGCCTCACCGAGATCATGGAGCAAATTTGCCTGGATGACACATCCTGCACCACTAAAAACAGTGAGGATAATAAAAACTGGAACAGGTTAACAAGAGAGGAACATCCACAAGAGATGATAATTAATAATTAACTATGTATGACCTCAAAGGTCTAACCTTGCAGTTGACCCTGCTTTGAGCAGGGAAAGTTGAATCTGTAATTTCTAGGATTGTAATGACTACAGTAAAAGAAGCAGCTCACTGTGCTTGTCCAGATACACCTGTCTAAACAAACATAGAATAAACACTACCAAAACTTTTCCAGTTATTTGAGATTTGGAATTTTGACTGCAGACCACAGAAAAGTAGAAAATTACATGTAAAGGTGTCCAAAGGTTTATTAGAACATCTAAAGAGGATTAGGGGTATTATTTCATGGTTAGTCTTCTTATTAGGGCATATTTTCAGCTCAGGATTTATATACACTGTAGAATTGAAATGACAAATGTGAAATTAAATTTACTACTAAAAGGTATGCATCCAAACTTGAAAAGCGGGATTAAAAATAGGGGAAATCAAAGAAACTAATTTACAAAACCCTATTATTTAAATATATGAATGAAGTTTCTGTCTGGTTTTGCGTCTTACCATTTGGAAAATAACTTTGGCTCTGCAGTCTTATATATTGCATTTTTTTTCTTTTACTCGCTATTGTAGGAGTTGAAATATAGACTATTCAGCTTCTTTATTTAACAGGAATAGTCTCTGTGTCCATATTCACTCAGGGCAAAAGGAACTTTGTAAGGTCCAAGTTGTTAAGATGCCCTTAGAGTATTCTTCTGCACCACGAAGTTAATTTGTGAGTTCAGAAATGCACTGGCTGTTTTTCTGACTTCCTGCTAGGAAACCATAATCCTGCTCTGAATTTAGTATCTCACCAGAGAAATCAGGATGCAAGCAGGAAATAGATTACTCTTGGTTTGCAGCCTTATGCAGAGTTCAGATGCAAAACTACTTGCTCACCTGGAAATTCTGAATTATTCTCTGTATTTTAATCTAAACTCTAGGACCATATTTTTATTTTCATGCATTAAATGAAAACCTATTTCTGAGATGAAAATCTCAATGAAGAATAACTATTTTAAGTTTAATTTTTATCCAAAACCAAGTTTCATAAATACTAGCTGCTTTAATACCAGATAATCTTCAGAATTTTAGAAATTAAAGTGTTCTAGAATTGTTATCCCAATAATTATAATTAAAAGCAAATAAGAATTTTTTAGTTCATTGAAAGGCACAGGTCATAGGAAGAAAGTATTCAGTATTCTATTCTAAGTGTCTGAGAGACTGTACAATGGACTTATCACAAGGTCAGGATCTTAAGCTAGAGATGATTCTGTTCAGTGTAGCTGTACAGCACCCCATTTCAGAAATTCACATTCTCTTCACATAAGAATAGCATCACAGCAGGCAGAATTGTTAGTCATACTCACCATCAGTTTGCTCGTTGAGTGCTACTTGAACTTTTGAAAGCTGTACAAAAAAACCCTCACCTTCAAAGCCCCGACCTTCAAACTCACCTTTTCCAGCCACTTACACTTGTGTTTAAAGAAAGAGGAAATAATCATAAGGGGCAACAGGAAACACTGTTCTAAGAAACATACCCAAAACATTACCTTTTGTAATTTCAGTGCTTTATGCCTATCTCCTACCTGTGTGCAGGTATCTTGCGGTCCCCAGCAATCAGGATAACATCACAGAGCTGCTGCTGCTTCAAGTAGCTCTCCATTTTCCTGAAGGTTTGCTCTGCGTGGTGAACAGCCTGGTAGAATTCCTCGGAGCTGCAGGAATCCATGTCACAGTGGGGTGGCAAGGGGTGGCTGGCTCCTGACAGTCTGCAAACAACAAGAGAAACTCCAGGTTGGTAAGATGTGACCAAGTGTTGACTCCATCACAGTTTCTAGAACCTGACACATGCAAATCAATGCATCCTTTGCCTGTTCTCATCACTGGAAGTACAAGATAGAAAAATCTTACTGCATTGGGAGAGAAATGGAAAAAGCAATCCTATCTTTCCACTGATTGTGAGCAGTTCAAATTTCTCTCAAATTTCTAGTTCACTTTCTCAAATTCACATTCATTTTGCTCCCCTTGGGGAAGAAAAATAAAACTCTAATTGACTGAATTTGTAATGAATCCTGATTACTTTCCCAATGAAGAATTACATACCTAATTTTAATAAAAATATTTATTAATAAAAACTGAATTTAGACTGCAAAGATAACGATGTCTACATTTAAAAAGAAAAAAAAAAATAAAAACCAAAGAATAAACAGGAGAAAAATGTTTTGTTTTGTTTTTCATTATATAGACATCTATTCCTAGTTTGAAGTTACTCAGTTCAGTGTTGCAGTAGAAACTCAAAGTGTCAGAAAGCACTAGTCCTTGAGGAAATTATGAAACTATGCTAGAATTTTGAAATACTTCTCAACATAGATGATACCTTCTCTTTTACAAATATGTAATGAGATGGATTTAAATGAAAGCCTTAAGATTATATGTAGGACTTGTAGTGCTGAAAATGAAGGATTTCACAGATGAAGCTAATTTTTTATTCTTCAATAGATATATACAAAAGATTTCCATAATCAATAGAAGAGCAATAGACAACTTATCTTAGTCCAGCATATGAAACAATATTATAAATTAATTCAAAACAATCTCATTTTATATATTCTATTGAAATAGAAATATTAAAGAGCACATAAAAATTTTTTATTTACAACAATAATACAATAGTTTCCTTATTCAAGGTTTGAATTCAGTAGGTATTGCACTCAAAAACATTATATTGAAGGATGTGTAAGAAAATGCAGTCTGCATTCCTGGTGCAGGGGAAAAAAATGAAAAGTGCATAAAAATAATAATCTTAAACATCAGAATGAAATGCAGTTATAAAATATAAATAATAAAAAAACCCTAAATTCTTGAGACATGCTAGTGATTTGCTTCTGAATTATATTTTGTACAAAAGTGTCCCACATAGTCTCCTACAGTCACTGTACAGGGCTCAGCAGGTTTAATGAGGAAGGGCTGGTCCACCTTTTCATCATAGGAATCACTAGGCTTCTCAGCACTCCTTCAAAGTTGCTGGAATCCTGCATAATTGAAGGTGACATGCAGGTAATTTCCCAGGGAACCAACACAGCTACTTCTGTATCTCACTCCCCAACCACCTATTCTATGCCATGTACAAGTTATGATTTAAAATTAAGTATAGTGAAGTTAACATCACTTAAAATTCATTTAAAATAAGTAAATTCACTTTTGTAACATTAAGTTGGATAGCAAAAAATTATCAGTTGGTTTAAATTAGTCGATATTTTTATTTTTATGCTGCAAAGGTTTTCATATACCTGAGCCTGTATGTAGGGAACTGAACTGGCAAAATGTTATTAAATGTAATTTCTCAACAGAAACAGTTACAAAATGATGATTTAGAAAGAAACATTTGCCTAATTCTGTTACAGGTAATATTGTTATACGGTCAAACACTTAATGCCAGATATTTCCTCCTGGATAAAACAAACACATTAATTCTGTGAGTGACATAATTTGCATATATATTCCTATCCAATCCTATCCATGTTAATCAGATATCCAAGTTTATTTTCACATCTTTGGTTGATCAACTGATGCTTTCCCACAAAACTCTACTGACAGACCTAAGCTCATTAGAATGGGCAGTGGGCAGATATTTCAGCTTTTTTTGTTTTTCTTTTTATTTTCCATTTTATGTTTGTAGCCATACATAGATTTCTTTAGTTTTATTGCCAGAGAACTAGAATATCAAGTAATTTACAAGAAATAAATGAATGCCTAATAAATGAGGTTGATAGGTTTAACAGACATGTTTCTTCCTCTCCTTCAGGGAATTTAGAAGTGACAACAGCAGTTCTGAGAAAGTAAAGTAACAGGAATGAGCAGATCTTAATGGGTTCATATTGTTTGTTAGTTCAGGAGGTAGATCTAGGTCAGCTTAAATTTGAAAAGATAGGATACTAGTCCTGAATCTTTTTGCCTATTTAAAATGCTGTCTTTCCCAGGTCAGAAGAAGAGAACTATCCTGACTGAATTTATGCTGGTCCTGTGAACTAAGATTGCACTGTTATAAGCTTAGTCTATTTTGTTCTTGAATTGCTAGGCAGTGTTTGCCACAAATTTTGCTTTTTCCTGCTAGCCATTTATAAGCAACACTTTCTACCCACTCACTCAGTGTTTCTGTCACTTTGCCAGTCAATAAATGCTCAAAAGCAAGCCACCAAAAACTAAATCATATTTTAAATATTATCATGAAAAATAGCAAGCAATAAACTTGGTAAAAGACAATAAGTTAATCTTTTATTTATTTTCTAAGAAAGCCCAGATAAAAAGCCTGCTACTTATCCTATTCAGGAGCTATCTCTGTTTCATTATAAATGCTCTGTCTGCATAATCAATGCTTTAAATTCAAATAGCAACTTGTTAAAGTAGGAATTAGTCAAAGCAAATACCATTTATAACCAATGACCAGTTTGTGAAAGGCATATAAAGGTGCTCTGGGCCAATTAGCAATATGAAAATCACATTGTCACTTTGCATATATTGCTCTTGTTTAGGTGCAAGCAAATCAAACTACAAATGGAGTGAGAGGCTTTGTGATTGCATTCAGCAGCAACTCCAACACAAATTTGACTGAAAATTTCCTAAATCTTTCAAAACCCTTTTTAACATTTGTGTACCTCAAAATCCTGTAATCAGTGAACTGGACAGGCTCCAGGTGGACTTTTTCAATAATATTCCTCAGCTGGCAAGTGCAAAGCCTGAACTCAGTGTGGAAATTTCAAACATTTGGGAGTTGTCCAGCCTAAAACACTTTAAATGACTTAGTTAATAGCACAGAAATAAGGAAATCAAACCTTTCTCAAGATTACAGCAATGCTACTGAAGGGTGACTGCAGTACGAGAATACTAAAAGGTTCACAAAAATTATCAACACTGCAAATAACCAATATTCTTAAAAGGTTTTTTTTTAATGAAATGGCAAACCAGCGTGCATATTGCATAGTAATAAAAAAAATTTTAAAATCCACCTTAGCAAATTTGTACAGACTATTTTCACTGCTAAGAACAGTATCCTGCTCTTAAAAGAAAAATTATTAAAGAGCCTGAAGGTGTAGAGAAAAATCCAGTCTTTGAGCCATCACAGATATTAAAACAGTGTAAACAGAAATAAAAAACTAGAGAATCAAAAACATCTGACTCCAAAATGGTCCTCTTTTACAAGAAAAAAACCCCTGATTTGAAGAATGCAGAAATGAAAACCTTTAAGCTAAAGTAATGTAAGGATTTAAAGAGAAAATGCCAAAGAAAAAAGAACTTCACACACAGATTTAGCTACCTATACCTTTCTTGTTAAACAATTAGTAAAACCAGTAGTTAAACCATATCCTGAACAAAAGAACAACAAGAAATAGAGAATTTATATTACTTGAAATTATACCACATTTCTCTGTGTAAACAGAGGCTTAGATTTAGAAATATTTCCATTCTGGAAATTATATTCATAGAGGTGCAGAAAACAACAGATTCATATCACTGTGTATAGCAGAAAACTTTACAGATTACTTAGGTATTTTAAATACTCAATTTGAATACTTTTTTTCTTCATTCCACTGAAAGTCCTGGCCCCAAATAAAGAACTCTTTAACCAGAAGATGTTGTATAATTTCATCATTACTGGAATATTAAACCCTGTTGTATTTAGCAGGTTTTTTTCAGTTTTCACTTATGCAGGATTGATCACACAAACTTATCCAGAACCTGTTCAGTTTAATTTAGTGTATATTATTGGGTACATATCCAAAATACATAGTCAAGAAACAAAATATATCCAGTTCTTCAGTGAAAGAAACATTGCTTTGCTATTTATAACTTGCAAAGCGAGAAGAAGTATTCCATATGTAAGAGTGAAAAAAAAACTTCACACAATTCGTTCTCTAAAAATTACTTATTGAATGCTTAAAAATCAATAGCCTGTGGAATTGCACCATCTAAGATGGACTGTCAGAAGTCATGGCTCTCATTAGTGATCACTTGCAAAAAGGCAAGAGGGAGTTTCATAGAGACTTTAAGATTTCTTAGTGCAACAGCAAGGCTAAAGTTCTGTTTGTGAACAAAAGCTATTCTTTTAGTTCTGCTACCAGCAATCACATCTGCAACCACAGGCTCTGCCCAGACTTTCAGCAGGTAGAAGTGCCAGATAAAAAAATAATCAGAATATCAAACAGGACTTTTTAATTTTACCAGATTCACTCAGAGAAGAATTGGTCCTGTCTCAGAAATCTCTTCTCTATGGAAAATAATAAAAAAAAATTAAAGAATACGGTGAATATTATAAACTCATTCTATAGATAAACCTGCATAATGTATACTTTACAATGGTATGTCCTCCTAAAGGCAATTTGTGAATCAAGATACTTGTAACTCATTCTTTGAGCACCATAAGGTAAAAGACAGTCATAGAACATCTGTGTGCCCAGCAAAATTGCAGCTGAATCCCCTTCTGTTCTGTATTTCTGTACCTCCTAAGAGTATTACCAGACATAAGAAACAAAATACTAAGTACCAGTTTATTGTGTGATCCTGGACAAATTGTTTGAGGAGCTCTTCAGAAACATGGGAAGGACAATGAGAAGGGACTACTGTACCATATCAAACTGCTTCTACGGAGAAGAAACAGTTCCCTTGTTTAGGAGCTGTATTGGATTTTGCTAGTGGGGGTGGGGTACAGGGGTGGCTTCTGTAAGCAGCTGCTAAAACTTGTTACATGCCCAGCAAAGCCAATTCCAGGCAA